TTCTTGATAATTGTCATAAAGCTCAACGCACTTCTCATGCACGGTGTACCGTGTACCAGCGTGTCTCGAATCGGAATCACTATTGCGCGGCAATGATCGCGGCTTGGAAGGGTTGTAGTTTGGTGTACAGATCGGAACTGATCCAAAGCCTCATCATGAGCTTAAATAATCTCTGATTGCAGGGTTTAAAATTCATCTAGCAGTGTGTGATGATCCCGCACAAACTTTGCGATTGATACACACTGTTCTCGGGCGACTTTGAATAAAATGAAGCTTAAACATATCTTGGATGAAAAGGATAACCGTGTGTGCAGCGCAACCACCAGCGAAAAGAGGCAGCATTGCTTTTAAGTGCCCCCACGCGTTGACCATGTTGTGCAGAATTTTGATGCAGTAGCTCCTTTTGTCTGTTATCACAGGCTGCACCACCCTGTGGACAGTTCACACACTATGCAGTCGCGCTAGTGCTTACCGAAGACTTGAACCATCCGTGGCCGTCGCTCACGCGTCTTGGCACACAGGTAATGATATAATAGTCCACAGCATAACAAGTTTGACGGTGATTCACAAGTTGGCTCGTCACAGCAAACCCACTTGACCTTAAACTTCGCCTACAACGCTCTGTGCTCGACGACACTGGTGTATGGTCGTCGAGGATGGACTCCGCTTGTCGCATTATGCGAAATGGTCCATGCCATGGACTGTGCTGTCTCCTTGTCAGATCTGATTTTCCGCGTTCCATGTAAGGCCACACTCTTCTCCCAGTGTGAATGCGAGGCTTCAGTGGCGCCCCAACAGCATCAACCGGTCCCAGGAAAGTTCCTGGACAGTCTTGCGATGGTTCATCTACGGCGTTGTCGGTTTTCCTAGTGCTCGCCTGACTTCGAGGTATTTCTGCAAATTTTACCACAATCGCCAAAATCACCCGAAATGTCGTATTGAATGCATTTTCCGGCAGCTTCCAGCTGACAATCGTCGCTACCGGTCAGATCACGTTCACAATGCTCCAAATTACGTGGTCCCACCTTTGTCGTGCCTTCATCTTCATGCGGCTCGTAGATCACCTCCTGGATGCGATTCAGGGTAGCCAATTCGGATTTACGAGCTTCAGCAAGCACGACCCTGCAAATCTTGGACTCGAGAGCTTCGGTGGCCAGTGAATCCGCGGCAGCATTGTATTCCTTTACTATGTGACGGTACTTGGCCGACCGAAACTTTTCCGTAAGCTGTTTGTGAGTGTTCAGTTAATATCACCAGAGACCCCTTTTGACCTGCCCCTAGTGACTGTGGAGTCGGAAGCCTTGAGTCGCCCACGACGACTAAATCCTCGGCACCGTGTGCTGAAGCTGCCTTGACACCATTATTCATCCCAGTGTATGAGGCGAGGTTCACCGTGGTGGACGGGAGACAAGCGTTCGCAGAGATCACTATCCTTCATTCAGAGAGGCTCCATAATATTCAAGAACAGCTACTATGACCACCATATTGATCGGTCTTGGCTGATCCGCCAAAAGACATAACGAATCCTCGGTAGTCGCGCGGCAGCTTTACGTAGTGCCTACCGGTGTCATCCGAGATTTCGTTTTCTTCAGTTGTCAACACGTGGGTTACTGATATGTACCCTTCGTCCAACGTGACTATCGCCTCCTCCGCTGGCGTGGCTTTGACTCCAGGCCCCAAACGAACGCTCGCAAACGTGTCCAGCACCTTTAACGAAGCGCGTATCTCCTCTGGACCGGTGGTTGTGCCTTCGTTTTCAATAGTCGCAATGTAAGAGGCTGATGAGTCGCCGCTTGGACGCTTGCCATCCGATACAATCGTGGTTTCCTTCGTCATTGTACTTGATGCGTCATCTCCAACATCAGATATCAGCTGAACCCACGATGCTGTGTTCATCACCTTTGTTTCACCGCGTGGTTCCTGTAGGCGCTCGGCCGACTCTTCGTTGATATCGCTGTCGTCGTGGTCACCTTTTGAACCACCGTCTGAAGAGTTTCCGGGAAATCGGATCTCGAACGAGTCCTCGTCCGTCACCCCAGAGTCTACTCGGCCTTCATCCCGCTCTCGTCGCTCCATAATCTTCTCTCAACGCTCTGAGCACGTCAGACGATCTGCTGATGCGTCTAACGCGCCCTCAGACGACCTCTTCATGACACCAGTGGGTGTCGGATATGCTCGCCTCTCAACCAACGGAGGTTGGGTTGCCAGCCATTGTTCAAAGAGTTCGCACTTCCGTCTGAATAGTCGTTGGTCGCGACAATTTTCGTAGGCAAGCGCTTGCTAATCCTTGTACTTCTTGTAGTCCGAACGCACGTAGCCCTCGCGTCGCGGCAGATCTCCGACTGAAACCAGCATGGCCAGTCTATCGAATGCTGGAATGTAAGCTATCCGTTCCGAGACGTTCGTCAATCTGATACGCACTAGCCAGCCATGGCGAAACCTTGCCACTGACGGGATAACCTACTCTGTACGTCGAATTCACAGTACATGCTGTTCCAATCTCACCGTTCGTTTCGCCAGTCGATACTCGCGAGACTCGTGGCCAGGTGTGTCTAAAGCTTCGGTCGGTCCAGCCTTGACATGTGCACTGTACCCCATACTGTCCACCATGTTTTTCGTCTCGATCAGCGGGATGCACACTTCATTTGGGAG